ACATTTTGAAGTGAGATAGGGCGTTTTTGAACCGAATTTTGAGATAGGGTGTTTTTCAATTAAATTCTGAAATAGGGAGTTCTTGAAAAGTTTTTTGAGACAGAGCGCTTTCGAACTGGCTGCCGAGATAGGTCGATCTTCCACTCAGCCATCGATATATAACTATACTATGAATATGAAGCATACATATATAATATATATATTTTGTAATATTATCTAAATCGTCGTTTAAAGTGCAAAACCGCCTATCGTCGTTTTGCAAAACCGCGTAACTGACATTTGCAACTGAGATTTGCTCATAGGAAGCTCCAGGCATAAAACCTTATCTATTCATACCAATATATCGATATTAAACCATGTACAGCAAAACAACAGCATAGTTGCAATCCCGCTGATCAAGAGTAGCATATGACGTATGCTGTAATCCGAAAGTTCGTAGTTACGAATTCGTAGCTCCGTTCCGAAAATTCGAAAATTGGGATGCAGTATCCCGATCGTAACTTTCAACGGCGTTGCCAAGTAAAATAGTGAAATTCGAAGATGAGAAATTCCAAATAAATATAATCGCAAGTGAACAGTGAAATTTAAAAAATTGTTTAATCGTATTTGAAACTTTATTTTTTTTATATTTTTTTTTAATTTAGTTAGGTAAAATATAATGGATTCAGTGGCCGATGCACTTTTGTTTCAGGAGGAAGGGGTACTGTTTAGTATCTAGTCTAACTATTTCGAGGTATTGCGCCCAAAGGAGTGACCCGATCCAAAAAAAATTTGCACACACTTGTAATGTGCAGACCACATTATTTTAAACCTGCTTTTGTAATTTTTGGTCACTAATTTATTTACAAATTGGGTTTTATATATGCCGTTTTTTTTTAATTTGGAAATGAGCGTACATTTATCACTCCTATTCTCCCTAAAGCAGCCACTTCACCAATATACCCTACAAGACGCGATTGACAGAAACTCCAACACATTCACAACGAAAACTAACACATATGCAAAATTGTATATGCCAGTTTGGCTCTGTAGGGCCGTGGTTACGCCACCGATTTCGATTGGCAATCACCGTGCAATTGTTGTTGTGCACAGCACGGAGTGAGAGAATTTTCGAAATCGAACAGCCAGCACGATTTGCTGGGTGAACCGAACAGCCAGCACGCCAATTTTTCAGGGTGGCAATACGCTATTTTGCGAAAAAGTATTAGTATTAAATATAAGAATAGTAAAAAATATTATTATTATTATTATAAAGTAGATATTATAAAAAATATTATTATAAAAATTAAATATTAAAGGAAGAAAAAATATTAAGTTGTTCTTCCATTTTTCATTTTCTGAGTTAAATTTTGATGCGTGTTTAGTTGCATTTTTACTTCAGTGCTGCCATTGTGTGCGAAATTGTATGAAATGGAAAAAGGCATTTCTTAAGAAGCAGCCCTGTGCTCGCCAATCAGCAAACAGAGCGTAACCACTTCTCACCAATCACCGAAATTTTTTTCTTTTGATTGCCAATTAAAATTGGTGTGATAACCACGGCCTAGGGAATGACTATCATTTGATCGATCAAGTGAGTGTCAATGCTGATAGTAGTAACGGTAGTTGGTTGCCATAGTAACCACAAGATTCACTAGGGCTGCATTTTGTGCTCAACAAAAGTAGTTGTACCTGCCAAATAATGTCGAGCACTGAAGTACTTGGATATAATTTTGAACTTAATTAGTTTAATTTTAATTTTATCATTATTCGACCCCGCTCATGGCAAAAGTAAGTAAAAATAAAAGTTTTCATTGTGGTATGACATTCTTTTTATATATAAACGTAATAAATAAAACCGTATTATAAAGTACTTGGTACTGAAGAAGTTCAAATGCGCGCATCAACAGAAAAAAGAAAGACGCAAAACGAAAAAATGCTCAAAACTTAAAGTGCTGTGGAAAAATAAAGATAAGTTTTATAAAATATTTCATTTAAAATTAATAAAAGAGCTTTTAATACCGCCATGAGCAAGAAAAACGGATTTACGAATCCAATATTAAAAAATTGCATCGCATCGCCAGTTCTAGAAACAAAACTAAAAGATCCAGAGTATGAACAAGCCATGATAATGAATATATTATGGAATACATATTTCACGTTCTAATTGCTGTACATAAATTTTTCAAAGGTCAATTACATATATCAAAAATAAAAGGTGTGTGAGGACGTAGCCAGCGGTATTACACATTCATTTTCGGACGAGGAATCGCTGCAGCTTAACTGTGACGGCAGATGGGAGAGAAAACCACTAAACAAAGTTATACTGGTTGACACAATCCTACGAGGTAATATGTACACATATTAGGGACACAACAAGTTCTGACCATTTATTTTTTCGTTATTTATTTATAACCATATATGTAATACTCCTATATTGGCAGTAAGAGCTAGTACCGTCCGAAAACACTACAGTACAGATATATCAATAAACACGTGCGAAAGAAAAGGAACACACAAGTTTATAAATAAACATGTACACAACACATATACAAAAACGGCACTCAAGTACACAATACATTGACAAAAACGGTACTAGACTGTCTCGCTTTGATTTCGGAATGCTTACACATTGAGAAGTTAGCTTACTGCCAATATAGAAGTATTACATATATGTTTATAACTATATACCTATATATAAACCTTTTTAACATACTTTGTCAAAAGTACTCAAAAATCGACGCAAGTTCTTAAATAAATGGTCAAAACGGATAAATAAATAGTATCCCTAATTATGTGGCCACTACCGTATATGTACATATGTACATATCTTTTAACAATACAAATTTGTTGGTAATCTATTTCAATCCACTTAGATGCATTTAAAAAGAGAGATCCTGTTGAGTTCGAAAAGAATTCAGGAAGGCAATTGAGCTCAATGTAATGTATAATATTAGGATATTAGATTTAAGTATGTACATATGTACGTTTGTGGCAAAAATAATAGAAACGTCTTATTTTGCTTAATTTTTGGCCACATTTCCTTTGTTTATTAATTTTTTATGTACTGTGCTTAAGGTAATGTATTTAGCTTATAATTTGATGTAATGTACTTAGCTTCTAATTTTTTGACGATCAATAATTAGTTCATAAGATTTTATGAAAATAAAAGAAAAAACATATATTACATGTGTCATTAATGATAGATTTCTATATCGTGGGAGAGAGATCAGACTAGACGAATTTTAACATCAGGTTTACCACACAGAAAGGGAATTCTAGTTACCTCATCCTTTCCCAAGGCAAGGCGGTAGCCCCAGTTGGGGGAAAATTTTAGTTTGGCATCCCCCGCGTACAAAAAAAATGTGGCTATGGGGGGTAGAGGGAGTTCTCCTGATTGCAAATATATATACTTTTAGCCGCCGGAGGCTTATAGTTTTTAAGTTATTTGTTGTTAAAGTTTGTAAATTGAACTAACCTCTCGGCGCTATTTCACACAATAAACACTATATTTATGAAAACACTTCGGCAAAATAGTTGCATTGAAATGAAATATAAACATATTTTTTACATTTATGATGTATTTTTAGTAAATTAAGTAAGTTTTTATAATTATCACTGCTAGCTGTGCGCGCTTCCACTCCGCAACGCCTGGGTTCAAGCCCAGGTCAAAGCAACATCGCAAAAAGTATAGAAAAAGGTTTTTTCTTAAC